GCACGTTGAGATTCAAACATTATTAACGATGATGCGGCTTAGTGCCCATTGCCATCGTCTTTGTTTTTGCTTTGTCGATGAACTATACATAAATTTCCCTTCCACTTGACGTGTTGTGCGTGACTTATTTGCGGATATACAACTCAGTTACCCTCTGATATGTTGCGGCTATCTTTGTTTTTTTCTCTGCCGATGAATTCTGCATTCGTTTCCCCTTCATTTGATCTGCTACAAGCAATGATGTGACTGTTATCAACGAAGATACAACTCTGTGCCCTATTGGCATCATCTTCGTTTCTTCTTTGAAGTTCTGAACGTTGAAAACAAACTATTAATAACGAAGATGTAGCGTAATGCCCTTCTAACATGTTACGTCATCTTTGTTTTTTCTGTCGATGAATTCTGTATTCGTTTCCCTTTCATTTGATATGCTGCACGTTGAGAACAATTATTAACGAAAATACGGCTTAGTGCCTTCCTGACATGTTGCGCCATCTTTGTTTTTTCTTTGTCGATACATTCTACATTTGTTTCTTTTTCATTTTATGTGCTCTACGTCATGATCCGACTATTATTTATTAACGAAGATGTGGTTTAGTGCCCTTCGGACATTTGTGCCATTTTTTTTAAATAACTCACTCATTTCAACAAATCATCACACATTTTCTACCACGCCACACCTTCCACGCTGATTACTTCACTTTCAAAGTTTTAATGTTTCATCACTATTATTATTATTATTCGACCTTCATTCTCCAGTTGAATTCCATCTAACACATTCAACCGACCGATGTTTGATTTCTCCATTCTGATTGGCTGACCGACACCACTCTGTATCAGAAGTTAGGCTGAGTGTTCCACAAGGTTCCGTTCAGGAGTCTGAAAATTTGCACTAAGAAAACCAGGTAATTTTATCTTGACATCATTACTTAAACACTTAACACATAACACTTAAAAACACTTTTATTTGACTATTATACTTATTTCACTAGTTTTCTACGCTTCCTTTTGCTTGTTACCTCTCGACTGTCTATAATTAAACCTATTTCAGGGTTTAACTACATATTCTGTAATTTTCATGGTGATGTGCATTTGTCTTCCAGTCACAGAACAACCGAAGCACTATGGGTAACTACCCTGGAAATTTCCAGGGTTCGTAATTATCAAGATAATTAATTTTTTTGATAATTATCAGATAATTATCAAATGATTATCGGATAATTATTCATACTGACAGACAACTTATTTTCTTTATATTTTTACTTACAAATTATTTTTTCAGTTCAAATATGTTGTGTATAAAAATAANGGATTGCTCTGTGTGTCCACCGTGTCAATTAAAATAGATTCACCACATGAGGTGGTGATGCTTGAGCAAACTAATGGACAGTTGTGAATGTTGCTCCATCCATCCAACGACATAGAGACTGTTTGTCCCTTAATATTTTTTCTTGTTTCTTGTGTAGCTTCATTATGAACTTTATTTAATATTGAATTACCAATTTGTTAAACCGATGGAGGCTTGTAGCCAGGCCGAAGCAGTGTACAAAGTTTTATAAATTCTTCGTGTTCCACATGATTAAATGCTGTATTAGTGGCATAAAAATATTTTCCAATCTGTATTTTTTTTCTCCGTAATCTTTTGTAGTTGGTATCACCTCTGTATTTTTTGTAATTGCAAGCTTGGTTTGAATTATGTTTGGTTTACTGGAATCTGTCGCTGGTGACTGTTGTGGTTGTGATGCAGTTGCAGCCGTAGACTAATTATTCGCAGGTTGTAAGTTAGTAGATACTGCCGCTGTTGGTGTATCTGTCGATGGACTACAAATACTTGAATGTTTTTTAAGTCTATTAAGGATGCCTTGCATTTCCTTTTTGCACTTCCGGCACCTTGCCCACATACCACTGTTTTTTGTTTTGATACACACATATTGGCTCCATACGGAATCTTTAGTTCTCGGCATTTTTGTATATTATTTTTAAATTTTAATATAACATTAAAATCCCAGCCAACCGTGGCCACGAACGAACACGTTTGTTTTGACACAAATTATGAGGTTATTTGTGTTCGTCATCCGTCAACGACACGACAGTTGACATCTGACATCCCAACCACAAACACATCAACGTGTTAGTACCTCCAGAACCGCTTGATGTGAACAACGCTCCCAATTAATCACAATGGTATAATTCAAATCCAGCTGATGCAGTTCCAGATTCTGATTTCACGGTGGTCAGGCACAAAGCAAGTAAGAGAAAGCATCCACGAAAATCAGGCACAGACAACTCGCAAGTTAGAGAAGATAACAACCTTGGGGGAGCAGAGAAAAGATTGTGGCTATACATGTATAGGGACAAAAGGTATGTGAAAGAAGAAGATAGCATTAATTATTTGAAAGAAAAACGTAATCTTGATGGACACATGTTATCAGCAAAGGAGCTTCCCAGCCAGCCAAACCAACTAGAAAGGTTCGTTAGTAACCGCACCACTGTCGAAAAAAGACGAATGGTATAAACCTGAATTCTGGCCCTGGAACTTTGGCATAAAACGGTTTGATTTTCAAATTTCGAATATCTCAAAAAAGGTCAAGAAGGAAAGCTTGAAAAAGATCCTTCAACAAAAACTGCAATGCCAGCAGTCGATAGCTTTAACATAGCATAACAAAATGTAAGAGGATTAAATACAAAAATGACAGAGTTCCTGAGTTCTGTACATCTCAGTATGTGTGAATATGATGCTATTACTATCACTGAAACATGGCTACATAACGACATCTATGACTGTGAAATATTTCTCTATGACTTCATAGTTTACAAGAACAGGAACCGTGACAGCCCTGAAGTAAAGAAAACCAGAGGTGAAGGAGTTCTTCTGGCTGTAAGAGACCTATATAAAAGCAACCTCGTTGACTTAGATTTTAGTAATCCTGATATTGCTTACTATTATTTGTGCAAAGGTGTACACAAACGATTTTGATTTTATTTACATATATGTGGTATATGTTGTACCAAATTGCCCAATTTCATCCAAAGAAAATCTACTTAGCTTTTTTGAAAACCAGTATGTTCTCTATAATGAGTTGCATGGGTACTGATCCTCAAACATGGTACAAACTTTCTGGATACTAAACAGCACAATAGAATTTGTTTGAAGGTGATTGACAATGTTTCGTGATGAAATTCACTAGTTCGGACTTCCATTGTCTACTATATAAAATGATTTGAAATCCCTGAAACAAGTAAGAAGGAACGAGACATCATCAAAAATGATCTTCAACGGAATGTCTACTCCAAAGCGATGGTAGAAAAGACTTTGGCTAGAAGACAACAGGAGCCTCGCAAGGAAGAGAAGCCGTCACAACCAGTGCTTG